TGTGCTAACTGCTAGCATAAACATATGAACTGATTTGTGTGGTGCGTTCATTGACACTTGGTGACCGCAGCACAGAACCGATCTTTAAAGTTACAGTTGCTTTCGTGAGCGTTAGAAATGCAACTGCGAACTTCTATCATTTTAGCGTCGACTTGAGCTTCATGTCACCAAACTGATTCAGTTTCAAATACATTTTTTAGGATTTTTTTTCACAATCTAACATAAATTTAAACTGACTTTTTAATTTACGTTTGAGACCACTACAGGCTTTGCAGAGGTACTGCATGAGGGTTGTAATTTTTTTCTTGTTTTTTTTTTCCAAATAAAAACATCCCTAAAATGTTTAACGTTGTTGTTCTGCTAAGACGAATCAAAAGTAACAGAATTCCACCACTAGGAGCTGAAACAGGAAATTTGGTACGGGCCCACAGCTCTGAGGTTGAGGACCTTTGACCCGTACAAAAAAATTTAAAAAATGTTTTCGTGACGTCTCGACTGTAGAGAGAGTCCGCGACGCCGTTGAGCTTTTTGCATCCGCTAATAATCGACAGATAGTCAGTGACACGGTCGACGACACGGACGCAGCTAACTTCACGGCCAAACGATGTAAAGTCAGCAGGATTTACCACAATCTAACATAAATTTAAACCGACTTTTTAATTTCAAATACATCAGCGGTGAGAGAGGTTTGAGACCCCTACAGGATTTACAGAGATACTGCATGAGGGTTGTAATTTTTTCTTTTATTTTTTTCAAATAAAAACATCCCTAAAATGTTTAACGTTGTTGTTCCGCAAAGACGAATCGAAAGTAACAGAATTCCACCACTAGGGGATAAAACAGGAAATTGTTGTTGATTTGTTAAAAATACGTTTCGCAAGTAATTGATCGATTAGCTTGGTGTTATAAGCAAAACAACATGACGTACTTTTATGTTGATAAATCCGACATCTTACCGAGTACTTTTAAATAAGTATTGCGATACTTCATGTCAACCACATGTACTGTATGTACTTCTATAAAGTATTTACCCCACCTGCCCTCACTGCCTCCCCCGTCTCCCGAACGTCTCTCTCCAGAGGGTGTGGGTCTCCTGCGGGGACTTGATCAGGACCGGGATCAGGATCGCGATCGTGGTTGTCCTCCTCCACCTCTCGGCTGCTCTCTTCACCCTGCTGCTGAGAAACTACCCCCCCGGCGGCCTCACCTCCTCGGGGTATCAGAAGACAACACAGGGCCAGCAGAGTCACACACCGAGCCACCGTGCTGCCCCTCATCCTGGCTGCAAATAAAATAAATCCCCCCCCCAAAAAAAAAAAATCCTCTAAACTTGTCCGCCACGAAGCAGCCCGTCCGTCCGTCAGTTAGTCCACCGGGGGCGACGTTTGACCCTCTTTGACCTCTCTGGAATCTGTGATGCTGCCCCACACATCCACACAGCCACAGTGTCGACCAGACTGGCCTGCGCACAAAGATGTAGTGGGAGGGGGGGTAGGAACAAACAGGAAGGGAAGAGAGGTGGGGGTGTGAGAGAGAGAGAGAGAGAGAGAGAGAGAGAGAGAGAGAGTGTTGAGGTTGTGTTGAGCGGTGTTCTGTCTCATAACAACATATCACAGACAAACACCTCCAGGATATGAGAGAGTTTGTGACTGTATAAAACAACCAATCAAAGCAATAATTGCTGCTTATGTGACCTTTACAATCACGAACAACACAATAAAAAGTCTTTATCACTGATAAACCTGATCATTGGCCCGTTTCCAGTCTAAATCTACAGAACACGGTTAAAAGAGAGGCGGAATTCCACAAGAGGTGAAGGAGGGGGGAGGGGGAGGAGGAGAAAGAGGGGAGATTGGATGGGTTTCTTGTAAATATGAACAAAAACAGAGACCACTCTTGGTGATGAAAATAAAGGAGTTCTCTCTTCTTCTTCCTAAAATACTTTGCAAAAAAGTCTTAACTAAACGCATAAGGAAGAAAGAAAGTCACGATCTTCTTGGTCAATGTGTTTTCGTTATCAAGCGTATTAAAGAGGAGGAATGGTATGGTCCATCCAAGGGTCATTCCTGGTGTCCCCCGGTTCCTGTGGACAAAAAAAGTATTTATTAATTATAATTTTTTTAAGAATTTTTCTGATGTTGAAAAATTTTGATGAAAATTTTTTAATTTTTTTAATTTTATGTTTTCTACGTTTCTCATCAAAACAGTGTTTTGAATTTTTTTTGGAAAAACATTTAATTTTGGGAATTTTTTGGCAAAATACAAATTTTTGGTTTGATGTTGAAAAATGATGAAAATTTTTTGAAAGATTATTTTTCAAAGTTTTATGTTTTCCACATGTTTCACATCAAAATATAGCATTTTGAAATTTTTTTTGGAAAAACATTTTTTTTAAATCTTTCGGCAAATTCCAAATATTTGGTCTGATGTTGAAAAATTTTGATTTTTGAAATTTTTATGTTTTCTGCGTGTTTCTCATCAAAATATAGCGTTTTGAAATTTTTTTTGGACAAAAGTTTTTTTTGGGGAATTTTTCAGAAAAATTCAAATGTTTGGTCCAGATGTTGAACAATTTTGATGAAAATGTTTTGAAAGATTATTTTTAAAAATGTTGTTTCTAGGTGACCACCTAGACCCGAAGGACCGCACAAGGGTTAAATAAATTTGAAAAAATGTTCCCTAAATGCCCTAATTTTATGAGAAACATGCAGCAAAAGATACAATTTTGAAAAATAATTTTACAAAATGTTTTGTCAAAATTTATTAGAATTTGACCAGCAAGGAAAACAAAAAGGATACATTTTGACAGAACATTTTATTGAAATAAATTTGAGTTGAGGTTAGGGTTAACGCTGAGGTTAAAGTTAGGGTTAGGATTAGAGTTAGGGTTAGAGTAAGGTTGGGGTTAGGGTTACGAATAAACTAAAATTTTATTTTAAAAGTTTATTGTTAATTTGACCCTAAATGACACACAGTTCCAAATTTGACAAAAACTTTAATAAAAAGAAAATTCAAAAAACTTTCCCTAAACGCCCTTATTTAATGAGAAATATTCAGGCAAAAATAAAATTTTGAAAAAAAAAAAAACTTAAAAAAAACAAATATTTTCGTCCAAATTTGTTAGAATTTGCCCAAAAATGATACAAAAAGTTCAGAGTGTGGGGAAGGGGTGAAGGGGGTGAGAGGATGGGGTTACAGTAAGTACGCATCTAAAAGTTTTCCACAGTACTGTCCTGTCAAATGTACTCCTTAGACCCGGCAGAGTGGGTTTTAATGTGAGGGACGTCACTTTTATTAATCCTCTAGCGGTTAGCGTGAGCGCACTAGCGTCCATGTAAGTCAGCACGCAGCCCCAGCCGTGTATCAGCAGTCTGTGGGCAGAAAACAATGTCATCAGAGGGAGAGGGAGAGAGAGAGAGAGACAGAGAGAGAGACAGAGGAGGAGAAGGGCCGGGGGAGTGGGGGAGGGTAGGCAGAGAAATCCAGAAGGCTCTCTAGGTACAAATGGAAGGAGATTTATAAAAATGATACTCCCTCTTCCCCCAACCCCCGACTCCTGGTGTGCACCCCACACTCCATATGGACATGCGATTTTACATTTTTGGTCTTTAGCGTTAACCCTTCGCAGGAAGAGACAGAAAACAACCCCCCCCCCCCCCCCCCCCCCGGTCAACCGCTGCCTACCCGTACCAAACACGGCTAACAGGTCAAGGTTCTGACCCCCAGATACGAGACGAAACAAAACTTTTGCTTGTAAGCGACTTTCCGTGATTCAGCAGCTCCGCCGCGGCCCAGTCATCTGGCGGTGTGGAGCAGCAGCCGCGGGGAGTGATTAATCACAGCTGTGGAAACACGCCGCATCCAGATTCCTATGGAGTCAGTCAAGATCCACAACCCACAACCAAAATCCCCCTCCGGGACCGAATACTTCAACATCGCGTTGGATATGAAGTGTTGGGGGGGGAAAAAACACATTCATTTTAAGATAATCATCTGCAAAGAATTCACTCGGTGGGAAAAAAACAAAAGAAAAGTATTTCGGGTTTTAAACAGTTCCTGCACCAAGTAACCAACCACAGTATGAAGATTGAGGAATATTTTTTTAGGAGGAACTCGTTTTGAAAGAAAGAAGAATTTTGAAAGAAATCGGAACCTAAAGTTCAAGTTTTAGGAATTACCTCCTACGTTTACACAAAGGTTTTTTACGACACATTGGACCCCGAAATGTGCAGCACCTGTAAATGTCATGTGTGCGCTCAACCCGGCTCCTGTATCATGTGTGCGTGGAGTGGGCCCTCTGGTGGACGAAATGCAGAGCGTAAGTTTACAATCGTGGTCACAAAAACAGAGGAAAGAAAAAAAAAATTCTTTAACTTTGGACCGGGAGGGGTCGTCTCCGTCTCTCTCTGCCTGAGGGGGTGAACTGGTGGATCATCCTGTGGACTGAGGCCCAGTGGGCGGCCGCCAAACTGCTCTTCTTGTGGTCCACAACCTGAAGATCAAAGTAAAGAAACAATCCTCTGCCTCCGTCAACGTCACTAAATATGACAACAAAAATATTCGGAAAAAAACAAAATCACAGGAACAGACAGACAATACCTAAATCAACAAGTAGGGGGCAGCGTTTCTCACCTGGGTTTATCTGGGACTGATCCAAACGATGGAATTATTATCCCCGTGGAAAAAATGTCCACGAAGAATCCACCAATCAGAGGGTCAGTCGGAGACCTACCGACTGTCCCCGATCCCAGTCAGGCTGGGGCTGCTGACCTGAGGTTGAGCCTCCACAAACGCATGCCGGGACGAGATGTCGGTCACAGAATCCAGATGTTTCGGCGGAACAAAAAAACAAATTCTGGCGCACTCGCAGTGTATAAATACCAAAATGGGTGTAGAAATATATAAGTACGCTGAAATATCGCGATATCTCCTCTTTTTTATCACCAATTCCAAGACCAATATTCCTGGTGTTGGTTCATTTTCTTTTTCTAGGAGACTATATCGTCGTGACTATAGTATCGCAATATATCGCGATATATCGTATCGTTGCTTACCTGTGTTGTGATATGTATTGTATCACCAGATTTTCGCCAAGACACACCCCTAGTGTCTACTGCGTATTACAGCAGTGATTTCCAACCTCTGGGCCGTGGCCCACTAGAGTGCCGTGAGAGATCATTAGCTATTAGCATTAGCTTAACTGGTCCTAAAACTATTATTTATTTATTTCAATTTTTTTTTCTTGTTCGTCAATGTGTGACAGGCAGAGCAATTAAATCCTCTTCCACTAGGTGGAAGCAGACGGTTTTCGGTGGAAAAAACCAAACAAATTCTGGCACACTCGCAGTGTGTAAATACCAAAATGTGTATTGCGTAGGGGTGTAGAAATATATAAGTAAGCTGAAATATCGCGATATCTCCTCGGAACCCCCCCCAATATATCGTCGAGACTATAGTATCGCAATATATCGTATCGTTGTTTCCCTGTGTCGTGATATGTATCGTATCACCTGATTGTCGCCAAGACACACCCCTAGTGTCTACTGCGTATTAGAGCAGTGATTCTCAACCTCTGGGCCGTGGCCCGCTAGTGCACCGTGAGAGGTCATTAGCTATTAGCATTAGCTTAACTGGTCCTAAAACTATTAATTTATTGCAATTTTTTTTCTTGTTCGTCAATGCGTAACTAGCAGAGCAATTCAATCCTCTTCCACTAGGTGGCAGCAGATGGGTTTTAAAATCTTTCTTCAATTCCTGCCAGTATTATTAGCATCGTCTTCGACTAAACAGGAGTACATTTTTTAGTGTTTTGAGAGTGACAAAACCTGCATGAATCCACTAGGTTCAGTAATGAGGCAGACACGCGTCAGTTTTTTTTTTTTCAAACAGCATTTACTTAGCGTTCTCCATACAACACATTGAATTTACGACAGCACGTAGTGTATCCTGAAATAACTCTCGTAAGTATAAAATAGGGCTTCTACAATCAAGGTACGGTCATAAAACGCTCCGAGGGACGAGACGGTCAAAAACAACTTCATATATAAAGCGCGGGACATCGAGAGAAGTGATTGTATTTGCCGAGCTGCTGCTGCTGCCAAAGGGGGCAGAAGTTCGGAAACGGAAACTCTCGGAGCGTCCGCATCCTGCAGGAACCCGTTTTGTTTCACTCTTAGTTCTGGTTTGTTTTTGTAGTTTTTTTGCGACCGAGGTGATTGAAGAAAATGTGAGAACATAATCGACTGCGACGGCTGAAGATTGCTAGGTTGCTGTTGAGGCGGCAGTTACCGGGTATATGTCGAAGTCGAAGCGTACACAGATAATCAAACCTATATATTTAGAGATACGTCTGTGACAACGGCTAGCCTGCGACGACGGGTTTTCACCTCCCGCGTGTTTTCCTCACCATCGAAACACTTACGGACGGCAAACGTACACTTTACGATCACTGAAGCCACAAGAAAAACCAGCTCGTTTTCGACGACGGCGTGGAACGTCAGCCAATTTCGAGAGATTATAACGATTAAGAGATTGGTGTCATCTGCAAATGTGCATCACACCATGTGTGGGCCTATATATATATATATATATATTTATACATATATATAGTCAATAAATGTGTCCTAAATAGAATACATGTAACATTGACCAGCTTCCGCGCTAGCTTGATATCGTGTAGTGCCTCGGGTGCCGAATATACAGTACAGTACAATACACGTGTCCGACCGGCATGAAGGAGGAGGAGGAGAAGAGTAGGGATGTCCGATATTAGCGTAATTATGCGATATCCGTAAGAATCGTGTTATCGGTTTTTACCTCCAATAATGGAAATCAGATAACACAATGCCCCAGGGTTTCGCCAAATGATGTGTGCCCCTAAAAATAGTTTTGGGGGAAAAAAAAAAACGGCTGTATATGTAAGTAAACAGTCACTAGATGGCAGCATTGCAGCGCAATTTATTAATCGTATTAAATTTATTAAACCCGGTACCAGTGGATTGTACGGATGATTAAATAAATATTACCAGGCACTCAATGTATTTTTAAATTTCAGGGGGTGGTGGTGTGGGGGCTTCTGTCCATTAGGGGGAACATGGCAGAAAATAATAATAACCGCCTTAGTGAGCAGGCACTTTCTTAACCACCAGGCCACCGCCGCTGCCCAGCTATATTGGTATGGGTCGATATCGGAATTGGACGATATCGGCAAAAAGTTAATATCGGACATCCGTAGAAAAGAGCAGAGAGAGAGAGAGAGAGAGAGAGCCGTAGAAAAGAGCAAAGACAGAGAGAGAGGGGGGAGAGATTTGTCTCAAGTCTCGAGGTAAGCACTGTGTTTCAGTATAATGCCCGACAGGCAATCATACAGTTACAATCATTGATTCTCTATTTACAAACTTCCTGATTTACAATGCACAGCAAGAAAAATAAAAAATAAAAAAATAAATAAACGCAACATCACATCTGCGGTGCAGCGTCTCAGACGGATGCTGGTGGGCCTCATGGTTTCATGAAGTGGGCAGGGGGGGTCAACATTATGGCTATTGAAAGAAGGTACGCTAGCATACTGTATGTCACGCGTCTTAGCAAAGTTAAACAACGAAGTGCAAAAAAAAAAAAGTTTCCTGATCAGTCGAAATCACCGAAGAAAAAAAAAGAAGAAAAAAGTACATCAGCTCGTTTTCTGAAGATACACTGTGGATGCAAAGGTCAAAGGTCAGAGTGGTAAACATCTCTGTTTACCGCAATACGTGGCCACCACAGTGGCTTAAATAAAAGGGGTGAGGAGGAGCGGGGGGGTTACGGGGGGTTCAAGAGCAACTTTGAGGCCCCACCTGCCTCCACTGATGAGGGCAACATTTGTACCATTACATTCTGAGGGTGTGTTTACATCACCACCAATCAACACAGTTCGTTAAGATTTTATTTTTTATAAATATTTCAATCAAAACCATTTAAAAAAAATGTTTTTTTATATTTTAAAATATATTTAATATTGTTGATGTTGTTGTTGTTGTTCACTGGCTCGGAAAACAGATGAGAATATTTGCAGGCGGGGCTAATTATTATTATTATTAATTTTTTTTCTGCGTGTCATTTAGGGATGTCCTCCCTTTTGTAGTTTGTTGCGTATGTTTGGCTTAGCTTTCCTGGTGTCTACTTGTACAGAGATGTTCTAGACATCTGCAAGGTATACCGGTAGGTAGATACCGAAGTACAGTCTGGAATTGATCCCACAACCCGTACGTGTAAGACATCTGCGCAACCTATCTAGCTGCACCGACAGGAAAGCTGCAGCAGGGTTTGTTTTTTTTTTTTTTCAACTGAACACGATGGTTTTTTTTCAACCGAACACGATCATGTCAAGTGTAAGAACACCCCCAAGAAGGTAAGGTCAAGACCCTCCCCCACGGTACCAACATCCACTGTGCCACCTCAGGTCCACGCTCCCACAGTAGAGTAGCGACAGTCGACCACCGTCTCACTGGGCTGCGACCAACGGACAGACCACACGGAGACCTCGTGTGAGTCGTACAGCTTAGCTTAGGGGAAATTCTAGAAACGCGTGCAAGAAATTAGCACGACAAATTTCCTGTCCAAAACAGACGTTGGGAACGAGGTTCGCAACGTGTATCGTAATTTCAGGAAAAAAACTTGTTACCAGCTGCAGTTTTATGAGCAAAGAGCGCCTCCGGTGGTGGAGCGCAGTGCTTCAGCGGGACAATGAAACATGGATATATTTAGTACGAAATTATCGCTAAATATCGGGTCACCGGTCACGGTGGACAGTGGTCGCAGCCCAGGGAGACATCGGCCGGACGCTTCAGATTGCGCCCGAAACGTGACTTCGAACGAGCTTCACAGAGAGGAGAGAAGGCTAAAAGATGCTACAGTACTAGTGCTACCTGAACATGCTACGGATTTCGACTGCAGATACGGGAGACGGTTTCACGTTAGCACAACACAGCGGGACCAGCTCTGCTCAGTAGCGCCATCCACTCCAGGCCACAGATTACGCAAGTCGTACTGCGAAAAACTCAACAGATTGACCATCCCTCGGCCAACCAGGAGGGGAGCTAAAGGATGCTAAGGTTTGCTCGCAAATTGCAAATCAACCTGGTTCCACTTGGCTCGCTCGATAAAGTGCAGCTAATTTTTGAGGTTTTAGCGTTCGTTCTGTTTACGTCTTAAGGCGGCATTTTGTTCCGGAAATAAACGGTAAATATAATTGAACTGAATAATCATCACATCGTCAACAAATTGGCATACGTAGTACCGTGCAACGTTTTTCTGCTGGAGTATGAATTTTTCCTCACGAAAATAATGTTACACGCCTCTATAGCTCCACCCGTCTGCCTAGGCTGAACGTACGATAACTGCAGTCTCTTTCATTTTGTGGCCCCGGAGTCTCCTACGATCGGCTAGGTCAGTGATTCTCAACCACGGAGATTTTTTGGTGTGCCGCGAAAAATTAGCCAATGTCCCAAAACTACTTATTTATTACAAATTGTTTTTTTTTTGTTCGTCAAAGAGCAATGTAATCTTCTTCCACTAGGTGGCAGCAGATGGTTATTAAAACTATTATATTATCAGAGCTACAATTTTTTTTTTTAATAAATTTAAACTCAAATATTATTTTATTTACATATATTTTTGTGTGTCGTTCCACGATATATATATGTGCTGTGGCTTGGAAAAGGTTGGGAAACGCCGGCGTCTCCGAATGAGGTTTTTTTCGGATGATTTTGTCGTCGCAGCCTCGGTGGATTAAGCACTTGATAACGCCGGGGCTTTTTGTGTAAAGTGGAAAAGCGCCATATCTGTAGTCATTTCCTGTACGACACACACACACACGTGCGCACACACACATTCACACAAACCCTGCAGTAAGGAGAAATTTCTACGGTCACACGGCTACTAACGTTCCGATCATCGTTGACTGAGAGCTGGGATTGCATCATGCCGTACCATACGTCACCAAGGAAGGGCGGCCTTCGTCGATATCAGCTCATCCATTTGAGACACACACACGCGCACAAGGATAAACTTCGAAAGTCGTCGCGAAAAATTTACAATCACATGCTTCGTAATGGAATGTAGAGAAAAGCTCCAGACCAGAACTTTGACGTTAGCTAGGACACACGGACACACACACACACACACCAGTTCGACACCAGTTTCACTCGTAGATCTATAGACAAGGTTGCGAAGGTCGTGTCTTCAGAAAGGACACACCTCATTTCTTTAAATATATATATATATATATTTTAAGTTACTTTTATATTGCTTTGTTTTTTTGGTTCTATGTTTCTGAAACTATTTTTTTTCTATTTCTACTACTGTACTGTACCAGGCTTTTATTGGACGGCCGAGTTGTCAATGACAAATAGGGCCATGCTGCTACATAGAACGTGTCTCTCTCCGGACCAGGTCGATCACACCGTCCCACCTGACCGGCCGAGTTTACGTGATCGTATTTTCATTTGCGCTGACAGAGTGATGTCATCGACCGAAGCGCGCTGCATTCAAGGCCTCGTGTTTGTACCGAAAACCCTTAATTCCTTTGGGTTTGTCGTTAATCTGTCGCTGAAATCTCATGATTTTTATTAATTAAAAAAAAAAATTACAAAAAAAAAAAATTGAACTAATCCTTCATTTTTCGCAGACTGGTTATCGGAGGAGGGATCGCAGACGACGATGACAATGCCGGTTGTCAAACTAACATTGACGACAAGCGAACGCCTCAAACTACCGGTTGCCGGACATTTCCGGGTCTGCCGACCAACCTTTGAGCCGCGGCTCCGACACCCTCTCTAGCTGTATCGCAATCTACGTAATGACATCCTTGCTGTTTCCCTGTTGTCTTCAGAAACCATTTCCTGTCTCACCCAACTAACCTCGCTGACTGTGTCCGACAGGGAATTGTGGGTAAAATCCTGTATCTACCTAACCTCAGCTTAAGCCAGGCTTTGAGTTTTCAGCTAGAAACTCTCGTTTCTGGTCCACTCTCTACAGACGGTCCGATTCACGTAGCCCAAATATTCGAGCCAAACTCTGGCATGGACTGCGGCCCACATGTTGGGCCACATGAAGTTCACTTGCTGGTGTGAGGAGAGGAGATCGGAAAAAGAAACCAAAGAGAGAGAGAGAAAGAGAACCAGGGGTTGGGACGTGAAACAGGGAGAATTAATGAACCGAGAACAGGACGTGACATCGAGCGCAGTGCATTTTAGGTAGGAAAAAAAACAAACAACTGATAGCATGTGCCGGTGGGAAAGCGCTCTAACGACTCTACTTTGATGGTTAGATAAGCCGACTTGGTTTTTATTGGGAATTTTATTTTATTTTTTTTGGACAAGTTGAGTGGAACGTTGTGTATTTCGTAGAAAGTGCAAAAATCGTCTCGCTTGATTCCGCGACGCATGCTTCCTGACCTGCGTGAGCTCTCTCTCTCTCTCTCTCTCTCTCTCTCTATATATTTATATATTTTTTCTACTTGTTTGTTTTTTTGTTTGTTCTTGTTAATAAAATAAATAAATTAAAAACAAAACAAATACAAAAAAAATAAATAAATTCAGAAACTCCGCCTCGTAGCTAATCTGATCAAAGTGCAACCCCCCAGCAGCAAGGAAGGGAGTGGAAGTATTTGAAAAAGGTTCCGACAGCAGGGCCCTGGGTCATGCTCAGGGGTCAGGGTTCTTCTAGCTCTCTGAGTAAGTCACTGGCGAATACATGTACAGGAAGTGACCCGCACACTCACGGAGTCCAGTTCAAATGAGTCTGGCCTCTCCCTCCACGTCCGGCGGTAGATCACATACTCCGGTGACGTGCTTCTCCTTTCCTTAGTTTCCCGGCGCCGCTCTGGCTCTGCTCCCCGGCTCCCACGGGCTGGGAGACGGATCTGACGACGACGCCCCGTGGGGGAGTCCCACCGTCTGCCTCTCCTTCAGGAAGACCTGGAGTCGACGTAGCATCTGCCTGGGGTTCTTTTTGGCAAACAGCTCCACCTCTGAGGAGAGAGGGAAGTGAGAAGAGTGAGACTGGGAAGGCTAACAGAACCGTGTTGTTCCCTGACCCCCGCCCCCCAGGTTTAGTTTACTTTATTTTAGGGCTTGGACTTAGAGCGTAAAACTAAATAACCATTTTACAAAAATAAGATGTAAAATTATATAATTCTCATTTTCCTTCATTTCTCAAACTGCTAACACTGATTCGCCCGCTGCAGTCCAGTGGGTGGCGGCGATGCACTTTAAAATGTAATATTTTGTAATTATTTTTAGTTTTTAGTGTCCTTTTTTCTAATATATTTATATATTTTTTTTTTTACTGGATAAAATGCAATTCGTTCCAGTTGCGACAACGTTCCATCTTTATCGCGGACTTTAACTGTTATTTTAAATGTAGCTGAAAATGATCCCGAGGTTCCAAAAAAGTTTCTGTTTTTTAACGTGACGGGACTGGGTTCGAATATCAGAAGAATGGAAAACCGCATATTTTATTTCATAAAGTGTCCACCGGTTTGGTTTACCTTTGAGTACGAAGCCGGAGTCAGCGATGGTCTTGTTTTGCGTTTTCCACAGTTGATAGAGGTACAGGTAGGTGGCAACGTAGAACTCGTTCAGCACGCCCACCACCTGCTGACGACGGTTGCACTCCCTGGTGTGAAACAGAAACAGGAGTGTCCAAAATGAGGAGACAAACTGACATGGTCTGTGAACCTCAACAACTGACATGCTCTGTGAACTTCAACAACTGACATGGTCTGTGAACCTCATCAACTGACATGCTCTGTGAACCACATCAACTGACACGGTCTGTGAACCTCATCAACTGACATGGTCTGTGAACCCATGAACAGTGGAGCAGCGGACACTCACTTGGACAGAGCCTCCTCTCTGAGGACTTGCAGAGCGATGCGCGTCATGTTGATGGACATCACGCTGAAGGGAAAGTTCTAAACCAAAAGACGAACAAAAGAAGACAACGACAGAGTTTAGGAACGAAGCGTCGAAGCCAAAGATCGGGGAAAAAAAATGACACGACCTCTGGATGGACCATCGGCCGTCACCTGTGTGGGGTGCTGGGACAACTTGTAGACGTCTCGAGCCAGCGGCAGCGGCTCCGG